ATAATCGTATTATATGTAGTTTCATCTGCAACTAAACCATTTTCAAGAAGCTCGTTCAACTTCTCTATTGCTAATTCAGTCTTTCCTGACTGACATAGCCCTCCAATTAAAGAGTTATAAGTAATGATGCTAGGACTGATGTTTTTCTCCTTCATCTCATCCCACAGTTTCAGAGCCTTGTTTACCTTTTCTTCCCTGAAGCATCCTGTGATCAAAGTGCCGTAGCTCACCTCATCAACTAAATAACCCCGCTTGCTGGCAGTGCTCAGCAACTCGTATGCCTGGTGAAGATTTCCCTCCACACAGAGTGTATGGAGTACGGTATTAAGGGTAACCGTATCCATCTTGAAACCTTTCTGGCCCATCTCATCCATCATCCGGAAAGCTTCAGCCAAGTTCCCTGCTTTAGAGTACCCATTTATCAAAGTGTTGTATGTGACACGATCAGGTGAGGATCCACTTTCTTCCATCTTCTGGACCTGTTTAGCAGCTTCATCTGTCTTCCCTTCTTTGCAAAGCCACTTAATTACTATATTGTGCGTAACTGCATTCTGTCTTACTCCTTTCTCACCCATTTGCTCAATCAACCTGAAAGCCTCTGAACTATTACCCCACTCGAAGCACCCATTAATCAGAGTATTGTAAGTAACAACATCAGGCAACAGCTTCAAATTCTCCATCTCATCTCTCAACCGCAAGGCTTCTTCAATCTTCCCTTCGTTGCACAGCCCATTAATCAACATGTTATAAGTCCAAACATCAGGCAAAAGATTGTTCTGCGTCATCAACTCCCTTACCTTGGCGGCCTCCTTCAACCACCCAATCCTACAATACCCACTAACCAAAATGTTATAAGTGTTTCTATTGGGCACTAGTCCCCTATTCTTCATATCCAACAACAAGTCCCTGGCCTCACTCAACCTTCCTTTCTTGCACAAGGCGTCTAAAATGGTGTTATACGTGACGTTATCAGGACTAACAGCAAACTCCCCCACCATCCTCTCCACCATCTCCACAGCCTCTTTGAAATTACCCACTAAGCAAAACCCATGAATCAAAACATTGAATGTGTTGACACTAGGTTTAACCCCTAACTTAATCATATCAGAGAACACTTCCATAGCAAAAGAGAGAGAATGGGAAGAGGGGTACCTTACCAATCCAATGAGGAGAGTGTTGCAGGTAAGGAGGTTTGGCTTAAGCCTCATCCGCCGCATCTTCTTAAAGATCTGGAGCCCAAGGTGCGGCTTCCCAGACTGGACGTAGGCGCCTACGGAGGTGTCAAGGAGAGCTTTGGAGGGGCGCTGGGAAATGCGGAGGTCAGGGTGAAGGAGGGAACGGTGAAGAGAAAGGGATGAATCAGAGCGGATGAAGGAGAGAAGAAGAGACTTAGCGTCGGAGAACTTGTTGTGGGACAGTAGGGGAGGGAGGACGTAGAGGAGGGGGAGAGGGGAATCGGAGGGGAAGGAAGGGAGAGAAGACTGAGCCCAGTTGAAGAAGGAAAGAAGTGTATTCGGTCGGCTAGATAGTGATGGAGATGAGAGAAGAGAGAGGAGTAGGGACTGTGAGATTTGTGGGATGTACTGTGTCAATCCCTCCATTAACGGCATCTTCTCCGAGGTCAGTATTGCTGTTAAGGTTTTCAGCAACTGAGCTTCACTTTGTGCTGAACTCATCATGATTCCACTTTTGAGGGTTTATTGTTCTAGCATCTTCATCGGTTCTGCTTTTTTCTCAAGCAGGGAGGGAGAGAGAGAGAGAGAGAGAGAGAGAGAGAGACGCCGGTACCATTGCCGGGACGACTCCAAAGGGGAGGAGAAAGATACGGACCCTAAGAGGGGTCGAAACGGCACCGGTTTATCAGATCGGCGTAAACCCTTATAAATACGCTGCCGTTTTGTAATGAATAGGGAATAAGATAAGGCTATTTAGCCGTTAAAATTTCCTATTTCCTATTTTCTATTTTCGTGTTAAAGCGAAATGGAACCTGTGAGAGAATCCCCAGTTGCGGTGAAGCTGAAAGCACTCGAAGCAACACCTGAGAGCTTCAAAGAGTACGGGCAAGTGATCGGCGCATCGGAAGATGGAGAAGAGTACGGTCCACAAGATGCTCAGTTGGATCTCACGAAAGGAATCCCCAGGTAATCCTTGAAGAACAAATTAATTTAATTTCCGTAGTAATAGTTAATATCGAGTAATCTATTGATTTGATTGTGTGCTAATATTGATTGTAGCTTCAGTTACAGGACGTAGAGTTTTGAAAATTCACAATATCTTGGTATCTTGTGATTGAACTCTTCATTTTCTACTTTTTTGTCAATTTAATTATGTCCGTTAGAAATATGACAAAAGACTAAAAGGTTGATATTTTTTTTTTAGTTTAGAATTTTGTATAATCAACTGTTTAACCAAATTATTTCACACAATTCAGTGCTAGAGCAAGAATATATGGGTTTAAATCTTAAAACCTTCCTCATTCGTTTGTTACTGATAGTTAGTCTTCTGAGCTTGCATTGCAACCATTTGGTGACAAGCTTCATCATGTGATTATGCATTCGAATATATATGCATCGAAACACTATCAGGGATTATCTGAGTTTGGTTGTATAATCATAAAATGCTTACAAGGAGTCGGGGTTTTATTTGTGCAGAGAGAATCTAGAAATAATTTGTCAAAATCCATTAGTCGCCAATCAGTTTATAGGCTACACAGTAAGGATGTTGTTTTTATGAATTTGCTGTTGGAGTTAAACTCTCTTTTCCTAAACCTTTGTAAAGACGAATTCAACCACCAATCCTTGTGCCATCGCAGTTACTTCATCCGCATAACCTATAAACGAGTCAAAGAGCCTGTCTGTTGTTGTTAACAATAAAAAACTTTGATATTCAATGAGACGATT